TGACTGCAGTGTGACACACCTTTAGATCTGCTGCATGGGTGGGGAGAAAAGATTGGAATGGAAGGCCTGGGTCCATTTTTTTCCTCTGTCATAATGTGGAGTTCAGTGGATTATAAACTATAGGAAAATGATGATTCAGGAAAAACAGACCAAGATTTGTTGGATTTAGGAGTGCAAGGAGAGCAACGTTTTTAACGGAATTGGCCAGGGAAGTTCCCCTGAGAAGGTGGCTTGAGCATAATCTGAATGAAGAGAATATATCCACTGTGCAAGGATCTGGGGGAAGAGTTTTACAAGAATAAAAAAGGTCAAATTGTAAGGGTTATAGTCAGAGAGGGCTTGACATGAATGGAGCACCAGAAAAATGCCAGCTTGCTAGAACAGAGAGCAATGGTGAGCAGGGCTGGAGAAGGAGGTTTTTGGTCCAAGATTTTTGGTCCAAACCCTTGAAAGTTCTCTAACACAATGGGATGATCTCATATATGTTCTATCACTCACTCTTTTTTTCCTTCTTTTAAATTAATTTTTATTAAAAACACCATGATTTACAAAATTGTCCATTGTGCAGTTGTTTTAAGCATTTAGTGTTCCAACATCACCAGTGTGACCTTTCCTCCATAAATATCCTGATTTTCTCACAATTCCAGCCTGCCCCCCCCCTTATGAACATAACAAATTTACTTTATATTGCTTATTCCAAAAAAAACTTTTAAGAAATGGCAAATAGAGTGATTATAAAAATAAATCAGTAAAAGCCAATTTGTGATTACTATATCATTTTGACCTATGTAAATAAGAAAATTAAACCATTCAATACAATATGGCAAAATTCCTGTTCTCATTTACATGTATATGTTTTCACTCTGGAGTCTAAATTATATTGCATTAAGTTTTATTTTATAATTGGATTTCATTATGGTAATAATCATGTCTCACCTGTCATTAATACAACTTTTAAAGCAATTGTGTGTTAATGTATTTTGGAGTTTACATATAATAGGCAAGGCCTACTTATGTAAATTTCCCCCCTACACTCTCCACAAATACTGTGATTTATGACTCTCACTCACTCTTTTGTGAAGAATAATGGCCTGGGGGATCATATGGGGAGATTATCAAGAGTGAAAATAGGAAAGACTCATAAATAAATCTTGAAAAAAGAGCAACAAGCTGCAGAGATGCCTCCAGAGCCCAGCCAGGCTAAGTCTCATCAGAGACACCCTGGAGGGGTGAGACCACCACACACTCAAGCAGATCCCTGGCAGCTGAAAACCTCCATAACTTAATCACCACAATGCTCATGGTCAGACTCCACAGGCTCAGGACAAGTCTTATCCAGGAATGAATCTGTTGAAAAACTCAGGTATTTGGGTTTTGTGACCAAAATCTCCAGGCTCTTACAGTCAGGGACAGAAAACTTCTCCCACCCCCAGTTCTTCCAGGAGCCTGGCAGACTAGACCAGGAACTGCCTCTGGCACCATATAAGCTCATTAACTAGCCATGATCCAGAAACTCATAAATAAATCTTAAAAGAGAGCAACAGGATAACAGAGATGCTTCCCAAAGTCACTATTCAGTTAAAAATTTAACTTTAGCTATAGGGGGTGGAGCCGGCCCTTTCTTCTCCATTCCCCTAGCATGCCTGGCTGGCCTCTATGCCATGGAGTAACCCTCCTGGTACTTATCTCAGCTATTCTTGGGTATTAATCTCCTATTTTGTTACTTTATGTCCCCCAGATGAATGCAATCTTTTTATGTCTTCCCCTCTCTTTCTGACTCATTTCGCTTAACATGATACTTTCCATGTAGTACCACTTGTAAGTAAATTTCATGACTTCATCTTTTCTAACAGCTACATAGTACTCCATTGTGTAGATGTACCAAAGTTTCTTTAACCAGTCATCTGTTCTTGGGCACTCAAATTTCTGTTTCCAGATTCTGTTTATTGTAAAGAGTGCTGCAATGAACAAACGAGTGCAGATTCACTTAGACTATACTTTTTTGCCTCTCTGGGATATATTCCCAGGAGTGATATTGCTGGGTCAAATGGGAGCTCAATTTCTAATTTTTTGAGCATCGTCCATACTGTTTTCCAAAAGGGCTGAGCCAGTCAGCATTCTCACCAGCAGTGAAGGAGTGTCCCTTTCTCGCCACATCCGTGCCAACACCAATTGCTTTTGTTCTTTTGGATGTGGGCCAGTCTCTGAGGTGTGAGATGGTATCTCACTGTGGTTTTGCTGATCAAGCTTCTTAACAACCATGATCCCAGAGACTCAGGAACAAACCTCGGAACACAGCAGGTTTTGGCAGAAATCCCTCCAGATTTAAGTGTTGAAATTTCGGAATTTCAAAATCGCACAGCCACTACTGCAGTCACGCGACATCGTGTGTTATTATTAATCAGCAATAGAAAACAAAATTTCTATGGTTGCCTTTTCAGAAGATCTGAGTGTTGGGGTAAAATCCCAAATAATAATGGTGGGTCTGGTGTCAAAATATTGAATTTGATGAATGTAGAGAGAGAGGAATGTGGAAATCATCTGCCCCACAGGAAGGGGGAGGGTGTGAGATGGGGGTTTTGGGTGGTGAAGAATGGGCACTGGTGAAGGTACGGGTGTTTCATTTTATGACTGAGACTTAAAACTTAAACCCAAAAGCTTTGTAACTGCTCTTAAGTATATTCAATAAATAAAATTATAAAAAATTTTTTTAAAAAAGTAAGGTGGAGTTCATGCCCAATTCGGTCAGCTAATCTGTGGATGAATAAATAGCAGTACTCCTACATTAAAAAAAAAAACTAGATAATAGAAGAGAAGGTGAACATAGAGATATTATGGGTGAGATAACAGAATTGAGTGAGAGAGTCTATTTCTATTACAAAACTTAGCAGGAACAAAGTACTGGTTGAACTCTACAAGAAGAAAACATTCAACCCCATCAAAAAATGGGGTGACGAAATGAACAGAAACTTTCTCAAAGAAGAAATACAAATGGCTAAAAGGCACATGAGAAAATGCTCTACATCATTAATCATCAGAGAGATGCAGAACAAAACAACAAGATATCATTTCACACCACAGAGACTGGCCCACATCCAAAAGAACAAAAGCAACTGGTGTTGGCGCAGATGTGACGAGAAAGAGACCCTCCTTCACTGCTGGTGGGAATGCCCACTGGTTCGGCCCTTTTGGAAAACAGTATGGACAATTCTCAAAAAATTAGAAATTGAGCTCCCATTTGACCCAGCAACACCACTCCTGGGAATATATCCCAGAGAGGCAAAAAAAGTATAGTCGAAGTGACATCTGCACTCGTTTGTTCATTGCAGCACTCTTTACAATAGCTAGAATCTGGAAAAAACTTGAGTGCCCGAGAACAGATGACTGGTTAAAGAAACTTTGGTACATCTACACAATGGAGTCCTATATAGCTGTTAGAAAAGATGAAGTCATGAAATTTACTTACAAGTGGTACTACATGGAAAGTATCATGCTAAGCAAAATGAATCAGAAAGAGAGGGACAGACCTAGAAAGATTGCATTCATCTTGGGAACATAGAGTAACAAAATAGGAGACTAACACTCAAGAATAGCCTAGATAAGTACCAGGAGGTTTACTCCATGGCTTGTAGGCCAGCCGCACATGCTAGGGGTAAAAGCAGCTCAGATAGAGAAGGGAGCACCAAATAAAGGGTGTTGGGAAGATCCACCCAGGATGGGAGATGCGTGCTGAGAGTAGACTCTAGACTGAACATGATTGCCACTCAATGCCTCTTTTGCAAACCACAGCACCCAAAAGGAGAGAGAGAACAAGGGAGAATTCCTGCCACAGAGGCAGGGTTGGATGAGGGGATGGGGGGATGGGGGGTGGGAGGGATCCTGGGATCAGTGGTGGTGGAGAATGGGCACTGGTGGAGGGATGGGTACTCGATCATTGTATAATGAAAGCCAAGCACAAAAATTTGTAAGTCTACTACTGTTCCTCATGGTGTTTCACTAATAAAAATTTTAAAAATTAAAAAACTTAGCAAAAGGCCAGATTTGGCCTACAAAAAAGGTGCTGACTTCTCTAAACTTTACTTCTCTAAAGTAACTTTATTTCTGTATGGTATTCTTAAATAATTTACTATTTCTAAAGTCAGACACTGTACAGTTCTCTTTTCAACGTCTTAAGAAACTATGCTTTTAACATCTATGCCTAACCTTTTCTTCCTGTCCCATTGGAATTAAAAAAAAAATCTGGATTACTCTAACCCTGACTTCCCTGAGCATTGGGCAGCTTGGAGCCTGTCCTCTATCCATAATCCACCCCTAGTGCTAGAGTTAACAAAAGGTGAACAGTACAACTGAGCTGAGCACAAGAATCAGATTCTACTGGATTGATGCCAAGTTTCACCTGTCTGGACCATCTGATCTCAACCAGCAAGGACTACAGACAAAGGGAAGGAACCATTGTCTCAAATTCCTTTTCCACTCCCCGAATCTGAGTCATCCTGAAGGCAACAATCTGAACATAAGAATTGAAGGGCCATAGATAACTAAAGCTCTCAAAATACCTTTCCTTTGACCCAAAAATTCTACTTTTTTAGAAAAAAACCACAGTCCGGAGATTTGATAGTACAGTGGTTAAGGTGCTTGTCTTGCACTCAGCCAACCCAGGCTTGATCCCCCAGGACACCATATAGACTTCCAAGCCCCATCAGGAGTGGTCCCTCAGCGCTGAACCAGAAGTAAGTCATACCATTAAAGGTAAAGGTAAAGGTAAAGGCCCTCCCGTTGATCGTCGATTTGCTCGAGCGGGCCCAGTAACGTCTCCATTGGAGACTTTGTTGTTACTGTGTCTGGCATATCGAATACTCTCGGTAGCTTGCCGGGCTCTCCGAGAGGGGCGGAGGAATCGAACTCGGGTCGGCCATGTTGGGCGCTTATAAGGCGAACGCCCTGCCGCTGTGCTATCACCATTAGTATGGCTTAAAATTAAAAAACAAAACAAATCATTTAAAAAGGGCTTCTGCCCTGAGAGGCACACATAGGGCAAATTGCTTGCTCTATGTGTGGAATCCACATCAAGAAATTTTGGAAGCATGATGTTTTGGCAGTAAGGAAGTGGTTAATCATTGGTCCTGGCACCCCCCACCCCCCAAAAATCAGGAAAATCTATCAAATTGCAGGCATGTTGTATATATTCACTAGAAAGCTATTTAAAATAGTTTGGGTAGAGGTTTTTGTTGTTGTTTGGTTTAGGGGCCACACCCCACGGTATTCACTTTATTCCTGCTCTGTGTTCATGAATCATTCCTGGAAGTGCTGGCGGATGATACAAAGTGCTAGAGTTTGAATTAGCCTTGACCACATACAGGGCAAGAACCTTAATCCTTGCACTATATCCCCAGCCCTTCAAAATCACTGTATCACTGTCATCCTGTTGTTCATCAATTTTCTTGAGCAGGCACCAGTAACGTCTCCTTTGTCCTAGCACTGAGATTTTAAAAAGTGCCATATTCAAGGCTCTTTCAGAGTCAGGAGAATGAGACGCATCATTGTCACTGGTTTTTGGCATATTGAGTACGCCACGGGGAGTTTGCCAGACTCTGCCGTGTGGGCAGGATACTTTTGGTAGTCTGCCAGGTTATCCAGAGTAAGAACTAGATAATAAACCCTTCAAAATAGTTTTTTTTAATTCAAAGTGAACTGATCAAACAATTTTTGTTATATCCACATGATAAAATATTATGTGGCTATTAAAAATCACGTTGAAATAGATTATCTTATTTGGATAATTCTCTACTTTTTAGTAATAGAGGAAAATAAAAGAAAAATTCATCATAAACAAATTGATGAGAATATTTTATATGTGCATATCTGTATTTGCATAAATTACATGTAATATATGCATTTACACATAGAAAGTTATATCTAAATACAATAAATAGTTCTTCAGCAAGTGTCTAAAGAAATTTCCTGACACTTGGCCAAAAGTGTCTCCCCAATTTTAAGCAGTAACAGATGTCACACTAACTAAAAGTTTTCATTTTTAAAAATTGTATTTAATTAAATATATGTATATACATATATACATATGTGTGTGTGTATATATATATATATATATATACTACATACAGTCAGAGTGACACTCCACAGATGTGGGAAGCTGGCCCTTTAACTGACCAAGGGCCTACGTGCCTGTGCTATGAATGGTTATCTTGGCCTACGTGACCCTGAACAAGCGGGTCCTGACTTGTGCAAATCTGGTACTGCGTCTGCTCTGACCGCAGCCTATGCATATTCTGAGCTATGTATGGTTATCTAAAAGAAAACATTTGTCACAGCTAGCCCAAGAATAAGAAGTAACTGACACTGACTAACCAAGCATATGAAACATGTAGTTTTTGTAACTTTCCTAACCATATGTGATATGACCTAGTGATGTAATTGCCTTCTGTGATTTAAGCATAGTTTTCTGCATCGCAAAGTATATAATACCCCTGCTGCCCTGAATAAAGTCCTATCCTGTCCTGTCCTATCCTGTCTGCTGTCCTGTCTGCTCTGTTCTGTTTTCTCTGCATTATGTCTCTTGTGTCTTGTGTTCATTCAGTCGGTCCTTCCCTGCACCTATGGACCCTAGGGCCACCTCCACGGGCCGGAGAGTGGTCTGGCGGTGCCCCCTGCACACAGAGATGTCACTGAACCCCACTCTAGGCTGTCTCATCCAGGGCAACCAAGTGAGTTCCCCACCTCGCCTCAACAGATCCCTGGCAGCCAAAAACCTGCAGAACTCAATCGCTACCAAATTCATGACCAATCTCCACAGGCTTGGATGAGCCTCATCAATGAGTGTGAATCTGCTGAAAAACCCAAGTCCATGGGACTTTTGACTGAAATCTCCAGGCTTGCACAGAGCTAGGAATGGGCAACCTTCCGCCATTTCCCTGTGCTTCCAGTAGCCTGACAGTCACAGCCATGAACTGCCTCTGGTGACACATAAGCTCGTTAATGGTCATGATCCAGAGACTCACAAATAAATCTCTCAGAAGAGAGCAATACAAGAGCAACATGCTGCAGAGATACGTCCGGACTCTAAATTCATCATCCAGTTTAAAAAGAAAAAGAAAATTTAGTAAATTAACCTCAGCTGTATCATCGTATTTAAAATTTTAGAATTCCTGGAGCAACATCTCATTCTCTATACCTCTGATGTACCAAGAGTATCACACCACATTTGATGGGGTGTAAAATAGAAGGCAACCAACCTCCAGAAGCTATATATATATATATATATATATATATATACACACACACACACAAAAGACTCAATTCTTTGTTTTTGCTTTTTGCAAAGCCTGGTAAGCTACCCGTGATGTGTTCGATATGCCAAAACACAGTAACAAGTCTCACAATGGAGACATTATGGACCCGCTCGAGCAAATTGATGAACAACAGGAGGACAGTGCTATAGTGCTTTTTGGGTCACACCCAGCAATGCACAGGGGTTACTCCTGGCTTTTCACTCAGAAATTACTCCTGGCGGTGCTCAGGGGACCATATGATATGCTGGGAATTGAACCCAGGTTGGCCGCGTGCAAGGCAAACGCCCTACCCGCTGTGCTATTGCTCCAGCCCCAAGACTCAATTTTTAACATCATGTTAGCAATCTCTTATACAAGGGCTTAATGGCTCAAGGACGAAATATAACAATTCACACACTTTCCTCTAAAGAAACTTTTTTGGATCATTTTTAGTGGATTATTCATAACAAGCAATACAAAATAAATTATTTAATTCCTGCTTTGGGGTCAGGGTTTGTGAGTAAGGGTGGAAACATTCGAAATATGGTGATGGGTAAGGCGTAATGGTGGTAGGACTGGTGTTGGAATATTGAATGTAATAAAGTATTGTGAAAAACTTTATAAAAATAAAATTTAGGGTCTGGAGCGATAGCACAGCAGGTAGGGCATTTGCCTTGCACGCAGCCAACATGGCCGACACAGGTTCGATTCCCAGCATCCCATATGGTCCCCCGAGCACCGCCAGGAGCAATTCCTGAGTGCATGAGCCAGGAATAACCCCTGAGCATCGCCGGGCGTGACTCAAAAAGCAAAATAAAATAAATAAAAATAAAAAATAAAAATAAAATTTAAAGAAAAACAATATATATTAGTTTTTGGTTTTGTCTTAGCCATCAACCCACTCATTAAGTATTTCTATTACTTTCCCCAATTGGCAGGAGTAAAGAGATTGAATAAAGGTGGTATTCATATTATTCAATAAAGCTGGTATAATATTCATAATACAGCTAAAAAACATTAATATTGTATGTACTGTCTAGCTGCTCTAGGGAGAAGAAAGATTAGACCAAACTGATGGTGGAGATCTACTCTCCTGCTCGGTCTAAGAACTGGTTTTGAGGTGTCAACAGCAGGAGGGGCCTACATCGTGGTCCGAGACAGCAGTGATGCACCTGAGGCAGAAGCCCACGGCAAGTCTCTGTGTTCCTTCGCTACTCCCAGTTTCTTCAATATTTTCAAGAATGAAAACTCAATGAGTAATAAAGATGCTCAGATTCAGAGTTGGAAATGAGAAACGTTTATTGAAAGTTGAAGAGAAAAGAGAAGAAGCTCTCCCGGGAGAGGAACTTAGTATAGGACTAAGTTTAAAGGGAGTTTTGTGTAACCCCTTTTAAAGACTCTCTTGTCAATTGAATTTCTTATCATTTGACAAATGTTACAGAGGATGCAAGGAAGTTACAGGAAAATGCTCTTCCACCTAAACTCTTTTAGGTGGAAATTGCGATCTTTACATTTCCTATGCAGATCCTGGCAAGCTACCCGTGGCGTATTCAATATGCCAAAAACACTAACAATAACGGGTCTTGTTCTCCTGACCCTGAAAGAGCCTCCAATACAACAGCATTGGGAAAGATGAGTAAGGCGAGGCAGCTAAAATCTCAGGGCTGGGGCAATTGGGGGACGTTACTGGCGCCCAATTGAGTAAATCCATGAACAATGGGATGACAGTGATACAGTGATACATTTCCTATCAATTGACAAATGTTACAAAGAATGTAAAGAAGTTAGTGGTTTGTCTTTCTAGCAGTTTGTCTCAAGTATTGTGGGCTCCTATGGCCTAAGCTCCAGGGCAGAATGTTATGGTCCTAGAGAATTAATTCCTGAAATATTAAGAGAGAACCTTGGGGATGAAGTATGTGTCAGAAAGAGATGGTGCATCTGTGGCTTGCTCTCTCTAACTGGCAAAAGGAAACTAAGGCTGCCTCCTTCAGCAGGTCTCGTGCTATTTAAAGGAAAAGAAATAAAAGAGCACAACTACTCAAACCCTCCCCTGCTCATGCTCCAGACTGTGGAGCCATCCTGAAATTTCCAGAGTTCAAAGAAACCGCAAGTAGACAAGAGGAACCAGACTCTATGTGTGTTTTCCCCTGAGCTCAGGGTCTGTGGCTCAATCCTGGAAAATTGCAAAAACAAGGTGTTGAAGAAATGGTACTGAATGTAGGAAGGACACTTGCTTGCATGTGACTGATGTAGGTTCTATCTCCACCACCACATATGTCAAGTCCCCCAAGCACTGTCAGGAGTGATTCCTGAATGCAGAGCCAAGCATATTTTCTGGTGTGTACCTTTCACGCCCCCCCCCCCAAATGAAAGAAAAAAAGAGAAAATTGTTAAAAGATAGTGCATAGGAGTTAAGTTAACATGTCTTATATGCTGCTAACTCCATTCCCCAGTACCACATGATCCCCAAAAACGAACAGGGACAGCTCTCAGCACACTACAGGGTATGCCTCTGGAGAGACCCAAGAACCTATAGGCGGTCCAAGTAATCCCTGGCACCTCCAGGAGCAAGTTGAACTGCATCCAAGGAACCTCACACAAACTCACAATGAACCACCACATCTCCTGAACACTGTCTGATTGGCACTCACCAAGAAAGTCAAAATGTCAAAGCTCAACAGATAGGCAAGCTGAAGAAGACACAAAGGCTAGTAAGAATGTGAGGGTGAAGTGGAGCCATGACAGGCTCCACTTTAAGACCAAAACTCAGCAGCCTAAGCTTCAGTTTCCCCTATCAGAAAGTCCTAACTTCTCAGAAAATGATATCACCATGGGCAGATAAACTGCC